AGGACAGAGTTAAAAGGGCATTTTTCACACACAAAAGATTTCTGCCTAAAATGTACGCCTTAAACCCTAAAAAAGAAACAACTTTATACAATGAAGAACTATACATGCCAGATAGAGAAATCCTTCCAAGTGAAAAATACCACCGATTACACCATTAATACCCCACCTCATGGACTCAAAAAAAGCCCCCCAGGGGTTCGTCTTTTATTCATAAAAATGATTACCCCCGCCATGTTTTTAGGGAAAATTCCTGATGAAAAGATTGGTTACAACCCGAACCCCTTTTTGTATATTGAAAAATCACGCCCCAATCAGGGGAAAATCTTAAAAAAACTTTCTAAAGTAAAATTTGCTTTTGACTACTGTTGGGCACCCTTAAGAAGTATTTTCCGAAATCATAAACGGGCTTGAAAAACTTTCTTTTGAAGTTAAAAAATACTTGTGCAACGCGAAAAAAAAAAAAAAAAAAAAAACAAATTTCAATTTTTATAAATTACTACCATTCGAGTCTTAGTTATTTTAACCCTTTAACTATGTGACTCTGATGGGTTAGTGTTTTAAACCCCCTTTAAAGAAAATCTTATCAATTTACATAATTTTTTTAAAATTTCACCCCAAAATGGTTGGGCCCCTTTCCCTTTTAAATCCCCCCCTCTCCCCCCCCCCCCCTTTCCAATATTTCCATCCTTACCCATCCTTCTTTCCCTTTCCCCTCTTCCAAAGCTCTGGTCATCAGATTTCCCAGATCCTGGGGGGGTAGCAGGTGAAAGTTTTGGGGATGGTAGGTGAGGGTGCAAGTGAATGTTAGGGGGATGGAGGTGAGGGTAGCAGGTGAATGTTAGAGTGGTAGGTGGGGTAGCAAGTGAATGTTGGAGATGGTGGTGAGGGTATCAGGTGAATGTTAGGGATGGTAGGGGAGGGTATTAGTAATGTTTGGAGATGGTTGGTTTGGGGGACAGGTGAATGTTAGGAGATGGTGGTGAGGGTAGCAGGTGAAGTTTTGGGTGAGGGAGGGGGGGTAGCAAGGATTTAGGAGATGGTAGGTGAGGGTAAGGGAATGTTAGGAGATGGTAGGTGAGGGTAGCAAATGAATGTTAGGGTGGTAGTGAGGGGGTTTAGGTGAAAGTTAGGTGATGGTAGGGAGGGTATAGGTGAATGTTTGGGATGGGGGGAGGGTATCAGGTGTGTTAGGGATGGGGTGAGGGGGGCAGGGGAAAGTTAGGAGATGGTGGAGGGGTATCGGGGAATGTTGGAGAGGTAGGTGAGGGTATCAGGTAAAAAAAAAGGTGATGGAGGGAGGGTATCGGTGAATGTTAGGAATGGTAGGGAGGGTATCAGGTAAGTTAGGGGATGGGGTGGGGGTAGCAGGTGAATGTTAGGTGATGGTAGGTGAGGGTAGCAGTGAAAGTTTGGTGAGGTGGTGGGGTAGCAAATGAATGTGGGAATGGGAGGTGGGGTACAGGGAAAGTTAGGAGAGGTAGGTGGGGGAGCAGGGGAAAGTTAGGAATGGGAGGTGAGGGTGCAAGTGAAGTTGGAGGGTAGGGAGGGTAGCAGGGGAATGTTTTGGGGATGGGGTAGGGTAGCAGGTGAATGTTAGGAGGTGGTTGGGTGCAAATGAATGGGGTTTTTTTGGAGAGGGGGTGAGGGAAACAGGTGAATGTTAGGAGTGGTAGGTGAGGGAGCAATGAATGTTAGGAGATGGAGGTGAGGGTGCAGGAAAGTTGGAATGGTAGGTGGGGTACAGGTAATGTTAGGAGATGGGATGAGGGGAGCAGGTGAAGTTTGGGGAAAGGTAGGTGAGGGGAGCAAGTGAAATTTTGGGGATGGTAGGTGAGGGTAGCAAGGGAAGTTTGGAGATGGTAGGTGGGGTGAAGTGAATGTTAGGAGTGGTAGGGAGAGGCAAAGGGAAAGTTAGGGGTTTGGGGTGGGGGAGCAAGTGAAGTTAGGAGATGGTAGGTGGGGTGAAGTGAAGTTAGGGAGGTAGGTGAGGGTAGCAGTGAAGTTTGGGGATGGTGGTGAGGGAGCAAGTGAATGTTAGGAGATGGTGGTGAGGGTAAGGTGATGTTAGGGGGATGGAGGTGAGGGGGAGCAAAATGAATGTTGGAATGGTAGGTGAGGGTGCAAGTGAAAAGTTTGGGATGGAGGTGGGGTAGCAGGTGAATGTTAGGATGGGGTGAGGGGAGCGGTGAATGTTAGGGGATGGTAGGGGGGGCAATGAAGTTAGGGGAAGGTGGTGAGGGAGCAATTTAATGTTGGAGATGGGAGGTGGGGGAGCAATGAATTTAGGGATGGTAGGTGAGGGTAGCAGGTGAAAAGGGAAAGGTGGTGGGGTACAAATGAAAGTTAGGGAGGTAGGTGAGGGTGCGTGAAAGTTGGAGTGGTAGGGGGGTACAAGTGAATGTTTGGAGTGGTAGGTGAGAGTGCAAGTGATGTTAGGGATGGTAGGGGAGGGTAGCAAGTGATGTTAGGAGGGTAGGTGAGGTGCAAATGAATGTTGGGAGGTAGGGGGGTAGCAAGTGAGTTTGGAGATGGTGGTGAGGGTAGCAAGTGAATGTTAGGGATGGGGGTGAGGTGCAGGTGAATGAGGGGGTAGGGGGGGTAGCAGTGAATGTTAGGAGAGGTAGGGGGGGTGCAAAGGGAAAGTTAGGAGATGGTAGGTGGGGGCCCCCCCCCCCAATGAATGTTAAGTGGGAGGTGAGGGTAGCAGTGAATGTTAGGAGTGGTATGAGGGTAGTGGTGAAGTTAGGAAAATGGTAGGTGAGGTGCAATGAATGTTAGGAGTGGTAGGTGGGGTAGCAAAGTGAATGTTAGGAATTAGTGAGGGTACAATTAAAGTTAGGGAAAGGGGTAAAGGAAGCAAGGAATGTTGGAGATGGTAGGTGAGGGTAGCAAATGAATGTGGGATGGGAGGTGGGGTGCAGGGGAATGTTAGGGGGTGGTGAGGGTGCAAGTGAATTTTGGAGATGGAGGTGAGGGGAGCAAGTAATGTTTGGAGATGGAGGGAGGGTAGCAAGTGATGTTGGAGATGGGGTGAGGGCAAATGAATGTTAGGGTGGGGAGGTGGGGTAGCAAGGAATGTTGGAGAGGTAGGTGGGGTGGGAAATGAATGTTAGGGGTTTTGGGAGGTAGGGAGCAAGTAATGTTTGGGGATGGTAGGTGAGGGTAGCAAGTGAATGTTAGGAGATGGGGGGAGGGGAGCAGGTGATGTTAGGGGATGGTGGTGGGGGAGCGGTGATGAGGGGATGGTGGGAGGGTAGAATGAATGTTGGGGGTGGTAGGGAGGGGAGCAATGAATGTTAGGGATGGTAGGGAGGGGAGCAAGTGAATGTTAGGAATGGGAGGTGAGGGTAGAGGTGAATGTTAGGAGATGGTAGGTGAGGGGGAGTGAATGTTTTGGAGGGTAGGTGAGGGTAGCAAATGAAAGTTAGGAGGGTAGGTGAGGGGGAAGGGGATGTTTTGGAGATGGTAGGTGAGGGAGCAAGGAATGTTAGGGGTGGTAGGGGGGACAAGTGAATGTTGGGATGGTAGGTGAGGGTGAAGTGAATGTTGGGGATGGTAGGGAGGGTGCAGGTGAATGTTGGGATGGGAGGTGAGGGTCAGGGAATGTTAGGAGTGGTAGGTGAGGGTAGCAAGGAATGTTAGGAGATTTGTAGGGGAGGGGGCAGGGGAAGTTAGGAAGGTAGGTGAGGGTAGCAAGTGAAAGTTAGGAGTGGTGGGGAGGGTAGCAGGTGAATGTTAGGGGGTGGTAGGTGAGGTACAAGGGAAAGTTAGGAGATGGTAGGTGGGGTGCAGGTGAGTTAGGGAATGGTGGTGAGGGTACAAGTGAAGTTAGGAGATGGTAGGTGAGGGTAGCAGGTGAATGTTTGGGGAGGTAGGTGAGGGTGCAATGAATGTTAGGAATGGTAGGTGAGGGTAGCGGTGAAGTTTGGAGATGGTGGGGGAGGGGGAAATGAAGTTAGGAGAGGTAGGTGAGGGTAGCAGGTGAATGTTAGGAGTGGGAGGTGAGGGTAGCAGGGAATTTTGGAGTTGGGAGGTGAGGGTAGCAAAGGGAAAGTAGGGGATGGGAGTGAGGGTCGGTGAATGTTAGGAGATGGGGGTGGGGGAGCGTGAAAGTTAGGGTGGTAGGTGAGGGGAGCAGGTTTTTGGGGGGGGGGAAAAAAAAAGTTAGGGTGGGGGGGTGGGGGTGTTGGGGGTAGGTGGGGTGCAAGTGAATGTTAGGAGATGGTAGGTGAGGGTAGCAGGTGAATGTTAGGAGATGGTAGGTGAGGGTAGCAGGTGAATGTTAGGAGATGGTAGGTGAGGGTAGCAGGTGAATGTTAGGAGATGGTAGGTGAGGGTACCAGGTGAATGTTAGGAGATGGTAGGGGGGTAGCAAGTGAATGTTGGAGATGGTAGGTGGGGTAAAAAGGGGGTTTTGGAAAGGGGAGGTGGGGTGCAGTGAATTTGGGGATGGTGGTGGGGTAGAGGGGAATGAGGAGTGGTAGGGAGGGTGCAGGTGAATGTTAGGAGATGGTAGGTGAGGGGAGCAGGTAAGTTAGGAGATGGTGGTGAGGTAGCGGTGAATTTAGGAGATGGAGGGGAGGGGGCGGTTTGTTAGGAGTTAGGTGGGGCGGGAAAAAAAAAAACCCTGAATGTTAGGAGATGGTAGGTTTTTTTTGGAGGGGGTAGCGGTGAATTTAGGAATGGTAGGTAGGGTAGCAAGTGAATTTAGGAATGGTGGTGGGGGCGTGAAAGTTAGGGTGGTGGTGAGGGTAGCAGGTGATGTTAGGGATGTGGTGAGGGTAGCAGTGAAGTTAGGGGAGGTAGGGAAAGGGGGCAGGGGAAGTTTTTAGAGGTAGGTGGGGTAGAAGTGAATGTTAGGGGATGGGATGAGGGGGCAGGGTGTTTGGAGGGTAGGGAGGGTAGCAGTGAATGTTAGGGGATGGTAGGTGGGTACAGGGTGTTAGGGGAGGTAGGTGAGGGGGGCAGGTGAATGTTGGGATGTGGTAGGGAGCGGTGATTTTGGAGATGGTAGGTGAGGGTAGCAGGTGAATGTTAGGAGATGGTAGGTGAGGGTAGCAAGTGAATGTTAGGAGATGGTAGGTGAGGGTAGCAGGTGAATGTTAGGAGATGGTAGGTGAGGGCAGGTGAATGTTAGGATGGGAGGTGAGGGTGCAAGTGAAAGTTAGGAATGGTAGGGGGGGTGCAAGTGAAAGTTTGGGATGGTGGTGGGGTAGCGGTGAAGTTGGAGATGGTAGGTGAGGGTAGAGGTGAAAGTTAGGAGAGGGGGGTGAGGGTAGCAAGTGAAGTTGGAGAGGGAGGTGAGGGTAGCAAATGAAATTTTGGGATGGGGTGAGGGTGCAGTGAATGTTTGGAGATGGGAGGTGAGGGGACGGTGAAAGTTAGGAATGGAGGTGGGGTAGCAATGAAGTTAGGGATGGTAGGGGGGTAGCAAGGGGAAAGTTAGGGGGGGTGAGGGTAGCAGGTGAATGTTAGGAGATGGTAGGTGAGGGTAGCAAGTGAATGTTAGGAGATGGTAGGTGAGGGTAGCAAGTGAATGTTAGGAGATGGTAGGTGAGGGTAGCAGGTGAATGTTAGGAGATGGTAGGTGAGGGTAGCAAGTGAATGTTAGGAGATGGTAGGTGAGGGTAGCAGGTGAATGTTAGGAGATGGTAGGTGAGGGTAGCAGTGAATGTTAGGAGATGGAGGTAGGGTGCGTGAATTTTGGAGATGGTAGGTGGGGTAGCAAGGAAAGTTTGGAGATGGTAGGTGAGGGGAGCAGGTGAATGTTAGGGGTGGTGGTGAGGGTAGCAGGGAATGTTAGGAGATGGGGAGGTGAGGGGAGAGTGAATGTTAGGAGAGGGGGTGAGGGGGGAAAATGAAAGTTAGGAGATGGTAGGTGAGGGTAGCAGGTGAATGTTAGGAGATGGTAGGTGAGGGTAGCAAGTGAATGTTAGGAGATGGTAGGTGAGGGTAGCAGGTGAATGTTAGGGATGGTGGTGAGGTGCGGGGAATGTAGGAGATGTAGGTGAGGGTAGCAGGTAATGTTTTGGAATGGTAGGGAGGGTAGCAGTAATGTTTGGGATGGTAGGGGGGGTAGCAGGTGAATGTTAGGAGAGGGGGGTGAGGGGAGCAGGTTTAAATGTTAGGAGATGGGAGGGAGGGTAGCAAAAGAATGTTAGGAGATGGTAGGTGAGGGTAGCAATTAAAAGTTTGGGGATGGTAGGTAGGGTAGCAAGTGAATGTTTGGGGGTAGGTGAGGGTAGCAAGTGAAGTTAGGAGATGGTAGGGGGGGGCAGTGATGTTTGGAGATGGTAGGGAGGGTACAAGGGAAGTTAGGGTTGGGAGGTGAGGGTAGCAGTGAATGTAGGAGGTGGGGGTGAGGGTAGCAAAAAAAGTTAGATGGTAGGTGAGGGGGCAGGTGAATGTTGGGAGATGGTAGGTGAGGGTAGCAGGTTAATGATGGTAGGTGAGGGTAAGCAGGGTGAATGGTGGTAGGTGAGTGTAGCAGGTTAATGGTGGTGAGGGGAGTGTAGCAGGTTAAATGGCGGGAGGGGAGTGTAGCAGATAAATAGTGGTAGGCCAGCGTAGCAGGTGAATAGGGAGAGGGTTGGCTAGGAGGAGGGCAGGATGGGGGAGGATCGTAGGCTAAATTAACACGTGAATGGAGAAGGGGAAGAGAGTGAACAAAGAGATGGATGAGAGAAAGAGAGAGAGAGAGAGAGGGGGGGGGAGTTATTCGACACTGCCCCAGGTCCAGACTGAGGCACAGTGCCCCAGTGTTAAATGTCCCCTGGAGAGGAAATGTGTACCCAGGAGTCCTCTCATTCAAAACCACAGTTATGATGCAACTCCGCAAAGATCTCAGCAAAGCAAGTGCTAAACTCTATAGACCGGTACCTTTGATAAGTTCTGAGAGTTTTTCTACTCCCGGAGCCATGCCATCACAATCTTCGAGGGAGTTTTAAGAAGGAAGTTTGATAAACATGTGGACCACAACACCTGCACAACCGAAGACATGTGTCTGCAGCTGGTGGCTCCTGTCTCAACAACTGGATCATTATAACATGGTTCATGGGTCTAGAGATGATCACTTATATCTCTCACAACAACTGGTTCATTACAACATTATATTGTTGTAATGACCCTGACACCTAACAATATCAACACTTATAAACACCTGCCAATATTAACATTGTTATAAACATCTGTCGATATTAACTGTTACAGACACTTATTGGAAACGGCTGAAATCCCTTGAACCGTACTTCCTGGAACACAGGTAAGATGCATTATTATTTATACCTGGAAAATTCTGGAGGGATTGGTCCTCAAACTACTCACTTAAATTTCTCAGCACGAGAACAAGAGGCTGGGCAGACAGTTGACAGCCGGGGTGCCATGAGTGCGCTGAAGATGCAACATTACAGACTAGTTTCCTGAGCGATGATTCCCCGCAACTACCCGAGAGGTAAACAGATCTGAGAGAGTAAACATCCTACACAGGACGCAACCAGTATATATATATATAATATATATATTATATCATATATATATATATATATATATTATATATATTATAATAATATATATTATATATATAATTTCATGCGAATAGGTAAACTGGTTAATTAGCAAGAACTGATTGAAAATTAGTCCTTTCAAAAATTTTCTCTTATACGTTTAAAGATATATATTTTTTTCACTTATGTTAATGTAAAAATTAATAATTTTGTACCAAAAGAGCCTTAGAAAACTTATCTAACCTTATTATAACAAGCTCAATTTAATTTAGCCTAATCATCTAAATATATTTTAGATAAGTTTACAATAATTTAATAATAAACAAACACAATGAAATATATATTTTTTTTCGTTAGGTTCAGAATGATTTTTTGCGAAATTATTTCATACACAAATTTTCGCTTGCCTTATTCGGCAAGAAGAGCGTTACTATTTAAGCCGAAATTGCTTACACACACACACACACACACACACACACACACACACACACACACACACACACACACACACACACACACACACACACACACCTACTTACCTACCTCTCGGTTACTGTAACTAATGAAGTAATATTGTGGTGGATGTGAAGGAGAATGGCACAAGTCAGTCAAACATTGTTATTAAGTGTATGGAGAGAGAAGTGAACTGTGGTGGTTATTGCATGTATATGAACTCTGGGGTGAGTGCCCCCTCCCTTCCCCCTCACCCCGCACATCATTCACTCGCGTGTGCACACTCACAGCCTCACGTCCGCGTGCTCACGCATGCACGCACGCAAACGCTGTGAAGCCCGTTACGTGGACGCACTGGTGCATGCTCTTCCTCTCATCTTAAGAGGCTTGTGTCAGCCACACGGAGTATTACTGGGGTGAAAATGACAGTGAGTGGCGAGGCTGGTGGTGTTGTGTTGCTCCACATGTCACACCGAGGTTGGTGGTGGTGGTGTTGTGTTGCTACACATGACACACTGAGGTTGGTGGTGGTGGTGTTGTGTTGCTACACATGTCACACCGAGGTTGGTGGTGGTGGTGTTGTGTTGCTACACATGACACACCGAGGTTGGTGGTGGTGGTGTTGTGTTGCTACACATGTCCACACCGAGGTTGGTGGTGGTGGTGTTGTGTTGCTACACATGTCACACGAGGTTGGTGGTGGTGGTGTTGTGTTGCTACACATGACACACCGAGGTTGGTGGTGGTGGTGTTGTGTTGCTACACATGTCACACCGAGGTTGGTGGTGGTGGTGTTGTGTTGCTACACATGTCACACCGAGGTTGGTGGTGGTGGTGTTGTGTTGCTCCACATGTTCACACCGAGGTTGGTGGTGGTGGTGTTGTGTTGCTCCACATGTCACACGAGGTTGGTGGTGGTGGTGTTGTGTTGCTACACATGTCACACCGAGGTTGGTGGTGGTGGTGTTGTGTTGCTACACATGACACACCGAGGTTGGTGGTGGTGGTGTTGTGTTGCTCCACATGTCACACCGAGGTTGGTGGTGGTGGTGTTGTGTTGCTACACATGTCACACCGAGGTTGGTGGTGGTGGTGTTGTGTTGCTACACATGTCACACCGAGGTTGGTGGTGGTGGTGTTGTGTTGCTACACATGACACACTGAGGTTGGTGGTGGTGGTATTGTGTTGCTACACATGACACACTGAGGTTGGTGGTGGTGGTGTTGTGTTGCTACACATGACACACTGAGGTTGGTGGTGGTGGTGTGTGTTGCTACACATGACACACTGAGGTTGGTGGTGGTGGTGTTGTGTTGCTACACATGTACACACGAGGTTGGTGGTGGTGGTGTTGTGTTGCTACACATGACACACCGAGGTTGGTGGTGGTGGTATTGTGTTGCTACACATGACACACCGAGGTTGGTGGTGGTGGTGTTGTGTTGCTACACATGACACACTGAGGTTGGTGGTGGTGGTGTTGTGTTGCTACACATGACACACTGAGGTTGGTGGTGGTGGTGTTGTGTTGCTACACATGACACACCGAGGTTGGTGGTGGTGGTGTTGTGTTGCTACACATGACACACTGAGGTTGGTGGTGGTGGTGGTGTTGTGTTGCTCCACATGACACACTGAGGTTGGTGGTGGTGGTGGTGTTGTGTTGCTCCACATGACACACTGAGGTTGGTGGTGGTGGTGGTGTTGTGTTGCTCCACATGACACACTGAGGTTGGTGGTGGTGGTGGTGTTGTGTTGCTCCACATGATATACCACTTCAATTTTTGTTACTAACATTCTCTCGTAATGGAACACCTACAGCGAGATGTATCTTAGCGACTGTGAGATTAGAATTAGATTTTGGCAGCCAAAGAAGCTAGTTTATTATGCACATCCTGTCCATCCTGTGGATGATAGCACAAACTGCCAAGTACTTGTAACCAAATCTAAGCGTGGCTACTACAACATCAGTCAGTTTGTTTACATTGCGACTTGCTCCATAAATATGCTTATCTCCGTTCATGTTATCACAGTGAGTTATAGATCCACTCAGGCTTCTGACTGCATTCCTGTGACATTCGGACTTATTACTTACTTCTCACTTAATATTATTTCTAATGCTAGATAAAGATATACAAAAGTTATATTTCTACATTTTCCTTCAGGATACTTTGGTTGATTTCTCAAGTTCATCGTGAAGGAGTGTGATGGAATGTGAGAACTAACGTGGACAACGTCTTTTTGTTTTTCTGTATAGAAGAATACGAATGATGGTTTCTGTACTTCTTAATTCCATCTTTGTAAATGTTAACTTAGTTACCTTGAATTACTTCCGGGATCAGTTGTTCATCACAGCTCGCAGTTTAACGTAGCTACCACATCTCTGCGAATTAAGAACATATTAAGTTCCCTTTTGGACATAAAAATCTGCTGATAATTTTCCTTATTTCAAAGATTTTATTCCTTTATTTTTAATTCGAATTTTCCCAGAGCGTATTATTGCACTCTGTAACACTACTGACAACTCCGGCTTTTTATTAAAGCTGTGTTGCGGCATCTACCATATCACAGGTCCCAATGAGAAGTTATTTTAGTGAACTGCTTTGGAAAACCAGACATTCCAGCATTTTTCCTGCTGTACGTCATGTTAAATCTTCGGCTACACTCCAGAGAGTACAATTTTAGGGGCATTACGTGCCTTAAAAGTGACTATTAGTGTACATCAATATTACAGTCTAGAGAGTACATGTGCTTTAAGATATTATTATCAGCTTTGCCTTTCTTGGTTTGAATTTTTACAGTACTGTTCATTTTTCTCACACTTGATATGGTAACGCTCTTGTACACAAATAACCCGCACGTAGGAGACGGAAGCTTATGACATCGTTTCAGTCCTATTCAGTCCTATTTATGAGTCACGGTATTGTGCCTTTGTGTTCTTTGACGCTCTTGTGTTCTCTAAATAGAAGATATTTAGAAATGGTTACTTATACATGGAGATACCTGGA